TGTTCCAGGTTTTGCTTACGCGTTTTTTTTATTTCGTTATCTGTTTGTTAGGTAGTATTTTGTCTAAGTTTTTACAACTCTTTATGTTTTCTGTTTAGACACTTGCAGGCTTATCAATGGCAGAAACAACAATAACAATATAAACAGCAACGAAGCAACAGTGTTACCATTATTACTACTAGCTTTTTGTTACTTAATCGTGTGTTAGTTTGACTCTTTAATATTTCTTTAAGCTTTACGTATATCCTTTCCCAATTTCTTTCCTGTTTTATTTATTTATTACTATTTTCTATAATGTAGTGGTGTAATTAAGTGATATAATTTTTTCTTTCAATATTTATGTATGTATACATTTTAATACCAGGTGCAAATCGATATTTGGCCTAGTCATTTGTCTCTTGTCGGAATAACTATACATATACATTTATAAAATATAGAGGTAAAAGATTTTTTCATTATTATTAAGACTGACATGTTTTGGAAATTTTTTTATGATTTGAGTTTAGACTTTGACTGAGTTCAAGCATCGTGTTGTTGTATATCTGAGGTATACGTTCATACGAAAGTCGTGGGAAGAGCGGCGACAAATAGCCGAAGAATTCTTTTCTTTATAGTAACATTTATTTTACCTCTGGAGTTTTGTTATTATTATGATTATTATTACCATTACTATTTATATTAATATCTCGAGTAATACCGGATTTTACCAAAATGAAGAGTAAAAAATGAATTTAGATTTATTTTTTATTTCTTTCATTAATGCAGATTAGGTAGTTGTTTTGTTTAATTCTTATAGTGCTTTTTTTAGTAGATGCTGAAGTAATCTTTTCTTATTGGTCTAGATGGTAGGTAATTTTTTAAATACTTTCTATCCTTTTTGTTTTATGTAGCATAATTGCAGTCAACAAGAAATGTCGAGCGCGCCATAGCTTTTACGTGAAATGAGATAGGTTGCGCGACGCAGCGCATGTATGAATGGGAAGAGGGGAAGGGGAGAAGCAATTAAAAACTACTAGCTGATGTAAAAAAGTAGAAACTTATTGTTATCCTTGTTGAGTTAAATTTTTTCTTTGTTTGATTGTCGCGAGTCCTGAGGCTGACTCAAATAAAGATGTCGCCGGCTGCTGCAAAATATGCCTGACGAAGTAGCCATGAAATTTGTTTCTATTTTTACATATTTTTTTCGATGTTGCTACTCTTACTGTTCCTTTAACTTCTTATGGCGGCCATTGTGTGTGTCATATATTACTCTAGCATTTGTTTTATTATACTTAGACAATATATATGCTTTTAAACTAGTATTTTTGTTAACAGACAATATAGCTTCTGTTAGAATCATTATTTGGTAACGCTTGCACTTTTCAAGGAAAAGAAGCTTTACTTAAACTGCTGCTGTCGAGTTTTCAGGGCTGAAAAGAAACAGTATTTAGGGATAGGCCAATAATGAACTTATACGTAGTGTTGTTCTATATTGAACTACTGAAGTTGCAAGAGGTTCTTTTCGTTGACGCAGCTGCTATTAGTTTTTCGTAGTTATTGCTTTTTTGGTCCTTTTTACATAGTTTCAATGACTTTCTTAATTTCTTAACTTGATATATTGTTACCTAGCAGTTTAACAACTTTGTTTTGTTTTATTCTTCGTGTCACTACTTGGCTTACGTTGTCGCATAACAGTTACATCTGATTTTTGAATACGTCTGTTATAGTGTTGTTCCACACCAATGACAATTTTTAGCTGTGTTTCAGGAGCATTTTGGTTTTCAATACGATGTTTGATGAGTGTACTTCTGAAGAAACTCGATGAGCAGTGGAGGTACGGTAATTGCTGGAAATCGGAATCAACTTTCATCATTGTGCCGCAGTTCTTTACTAACGTCTGAAACCATTATTAACGAATCGGAATTTCCATCTTTGGGCGTGCGCTCGTCGCCCTCTCCGGGTTTTCCATCGGTGCCAACCACGAGCTATTCTTCGTCATCACCTGTACCTCATAATCATTTGTATTCTAACAAGGATGTTTATAGCACGCTTCAAAGAGCTCCTTACGGTAATGCTTGTTTTACTTGGTTTTTATCTTTTCTTACACGCGAAGCGCCGTTACAGAGTAAGGGTCACTCATTCAGCTCATTCAGCAGGAATAAATTTTTTTGCACGTAAACTATCATATTTATTGTGTATAAGTACACTTAGATTCTCTACTGCAGTAGAACTTATAAGTAAGGAATACTTCTAAAATTTTGTTACGCTGACGTTTCACAGTTTATTAAGGCTGCTTTTTACGTAGAGAACTTCTGAACAAGCGTCCAGACTAATATTCATTCACAAAAATTACTGTTTTCTACGGTTTTAAGGTAGTTTTTCAGGGAATGTCTATATAATGAAGGATTTTTCAGTGAGTTGCAATAGCGAACTCACCAGTTATTGTTTTGTGAATGAAAGTCAGAAGTGAATGATAGAAAGGTCAAGTAACTGAGGACAATTTGTTTTTAAAAATATTTAAGCGATAAAAGCGATAAAACCATTGTATCTACTAGTAGTTTTGAAAGAAGTCAAGTGAAGAAGCCGTATTGAGGTCTAAGAGTAAATTTTTTGTGCCTCATTCGCTCTTTAGTGCGATTTGCTGTTACTTTTTTTTGCGGTTCTTAAGCCTGATCTTTTGATATTTGTTAGTTTGATGCTTTGAACAAGGTAAAACTGGAGGAAGGGGCACATTTATGCGGTTTTTGTTTTGAAGTTTGCTCATCTTACTGATGATGATCAGAGTTTATTCAGGCATTTTTTTTTAAAAGTACAGTCAACGTCTTCACTCTCTTTTGCTCTACTATTTTAATTACTTTTCTTCAGTTGAAATTTATTGAGACTTCAATAGTGTGGGCGGGTCTAGCCAAAGTTGTGATTTTAATATAACTTAATTGAAGAGTTGTGGATGGTTTTGCTATATTGAGTTTTTTAAGTTCCTTCCATTATTCGGATTTCTACATTCATTTGTAGATTCTACCCGGTGCTTGTGAATAGTTTTGCAGAATGACGTTTGTTTTCATGCTTAATCTCTTTTACTCTGCCTTTCAGCTAATTTGATGCGTCCGAATGATAGCAATTCAGTATCAAGCAGCAATGTAGAGTTTCGAATACAAAATGAGGACTTTCCTGCTTTACCAGGCGCCAATCATGTGGAAACGGGTCATGGCCAGATGTCTTTGGTATGTACCTTGATTACGGTTTCACACGGTTTATTAAAGTCTTTTCATTATTTTTTTCTGCGAGAATTGTTTTCTTAGGTAAGATGAAAGTATACATTGACAAATGTTGGATTGCAGCGTTTCTCTGATTTAAACTCTGGAAGGTTATGGCGCTGCTTCCTTACTGTGAACAATCGAAAAATGTTAACTGTCATATGTAAATTGCATGAAGAATTTAAAATCTTTAACAATTTTAGGGTGAACTAAATTATGGAAACTTTCTTCATTCGTTACTTTTATGGGAAATGTTTTTTGTAATTAACCGAAGAGTACACAGTGACTTTTGGTTATTGTATATTGTATTGTAGTTCACTTATTTGCTTTTGTTGTTATTGAACGTTGGATGTGCTTAAAATGGGACTTAATGCTTTAAATCTAGTCGCTATTTTGGATGCTTCAAAGATGTGGCTTGGGTGTTGAGGGAAATTTGAAGTCTTGTTTTTTTGGTACATTAATTTCAATTGTATATTTCTAACATTTTCTTTTTCCTTTGCATTCTAAGTTTTTTGTAATATTTTAATTGAGAGCTCGGGTGTTTCTAATGATCAGACTAAAAGTAGGATGAGCAGAACAGATTTTTAGGACTTAGTATCTAGTATCCTTATTAATTAGCTTAATTTTTAAGTTTTGTCGAGCAAGCATCACTAATCGTTGTCATTGACACAACCACCTTTTACTAATTTTAGTCTATGGCACATTATAATTAGTTGTTTTTGCTGTAAGGTAAACTGACACACAATTGTGACTAGCTACTTTCTTCAGGGTAGCAACGGGGAAAGTGTTTTAAATGATTCGAGGTATCCAGAAAGGTCCTGTCTTCCAGAAACCAAGACAGGGATACAAACTTTTCCTGACGGTTGGTTTTCTACTGTAGTGTTTCTCAACATTGGTATAAAGTAACTACTTTGTTTTTGAATGTATTCTAATAATGGTGGCAGAAATTTCCAGAACAGCTGTTATTTGAAGCACGCTTTTAGGGACAGTGAAGAATATTCCACCAGGTATGCTTTGCGATCAGTTTGGTATGGCGGGATTGCTTACTTTTCTGAGGGCGATCGAGAGAGAACCTAATGTGGTGTCATTAGCACTCGGTCATGACTTAGCTTCGTTAGGTTTAAATCTCAACGCGCCTGAGTACGTTTCATTGCTTATATAGCTGGCATTCTTTACGTGTTATGAGCTTCTCTATTTGAAAATGTATTATTAAAATACACTTTGAACATATTTCTTAAGTGTAAACTGTTGATTAAGATTTCGCAACAATTCGCTCTTTTTAATGAGGCTGTCTTTATTTCAGTCGAAATTTACACACAACGTTTGGTGGTCCTTGGGCTGACTTTCCTTGCAGGACGCAAGATTTGGATGCGAAGGTTACTTTTTTTTCAGTAAAATCCCATATCCTTATTTTGGTGCAGACTTGGCTTGAATTTCCAGTTTTTAATGCAATTTTTAAGTTTAGTGTGAGAAAACGTAGCTACTTCCATAATTATAATTACAGTTATTATTGATACATTTATTATTATTCAGATTTCAAAGGATTAGGTAGTTGAGTTTGTTGTTCATTTTCTTTTTATGGGGCCAGTTGG